TGATGTGTGCAAAGACTCAGAGAATTTACAAATCTGACGTGTGTGGATAGAGACAGTGGTCCATGATGTATTGTAGAAAACAGGTGAGCAGCTCTCACTCCTGTTTCTTCTGTGCTGCCCACAGAGGCAGCCCATGGAGGCAGCCCACGGAGGCAGTCCACGGAGGCAGGCCCACGGAGGCAGCCCACGGAGGCAGGCCCACGTAGGGAGACACACGGAGGCAGCCCACGGAGGCAGGCCCACAGAGGCAGCCCACGGAGGCAGGCCCACGTAGGGAGACACACGGAGGCAGGCCCACGTAGGGAGACACACGGAGGCAGGCCCACAGAAGCAGTCCACGGAGGCAGCCCACCCGCCAGGACCGCAGGTTCGTGCAGGTCACACTTCCAACACTCGCTTCCTCGCGGGCGCATTTTGCATCTGTCAGAATGTGTGTGTGTATGTGAGGGTGTCTTGCTCTTGCTGTCCCCTTCCTCTGGCGTCCTCCCACCCCCTCCTCTGTCTCTCTCTGTCCACAGGACTCTCATCTTCCACAGACACCATTCCTGATAATTATAGTTTATTGATCTCCTGGTGTTTGCTGCCCCCGGCCTGGATTCTTCATCTTAGTCCGGGCACCTTCTCGTCCATCATAGGCTGCATCTCTCAGGAGGCTAAGTGCTCCGGGTTCCAATCCGGGGGGAGAGAGAGAGAGCTGAGGCCTGGACGCAGGCCAGGCAACTCTCAGGGGTGGGCCTGAGCCCTGCCCCTCCCCACAGCCCTCCACCTCCTGCTGAGGCCCTGGGGGCTTAGTCAGGAGGACAGTTGAAATAATAATCATAGCAAGTAAACATTTATTGACACTTACCACAGGCAAACGAGTTGTAAGTGCAGCTCACAGGCATAGTCTCCACATCCTCTCAAACACCTCCTGTTCATCACTACAAATGAGACTCAGAGAAGTACAGGGCTCACCCGAGGTCACACAGCTGCCAAGTGTCGCAGCTGGGATCTGAACCCCAAGTCCACACACACAGGACCATACCTGTTCCCCGAAAGGAGCAGAACCAGGGTTGCAGACGGAGCAGATGGCGCGAACTAAAAAAATATATATATATAGTGCCCCCAAGATACTGCTAAAAAAAAAATGCCCCCCTGAGACTAGCGTGACTGGCAGCTTCCCCGCCCATTGCCACCCAGAAAGAGAGGGTCTCCAGCCAGCATGCACCGTCCTGCAGCTGCTGGTGGAGACAACCTGGCTCCCAAGCTGTTTACTTCTCAGCCATAAACAGGAAGGCCATAAAAGGGGCCCCTTTTGGTCAGCCACTCAGGGGCTTCTCTCTCCTCCTCAGCTTCCTTTTCCTCCTCCCCCAGCACATGTCCTCAGGCAGAGGGAGTGTTTCCTTTAGAAGCTGCCACCTCCCAAGGGCTTTGTCCCTGGGCCTGAAAGTGCCTCCCCCGGGGCTGGGAATTCCAACTGTGAGAGTCACTCCTGAGTGGCAGACAGGGGGAGAGCCAGTGCCCACCCCAGAGAGCCCACGAATGCGTGGTTACAGTGACAGACGTGCAATGACCTTCCCCAATCTCCACTGGACAACCTAATTTTTTTTTAAACCAACAGATAAGTAGAAATGAACCATTTCTTAAAAAGACAAAGCTGCAATTCTAAAAGAAAGCTGGAAAGAAAGAGACTAGGATAGTGAGAGGTGAGGTGAGAAGCCACAAATGAAAAATTAGACAGCATGGCTCAAAGAATTTTCTCTATCACATTCGTTCCCAAGAGAGTCTGAAAACAAAAAAGTTCTCCAACCCAGCAGAGTGCCATGTCGCCCCCTTGGAGATGCATGGTGCCCGTGGTCTATTAAAAGTCCTGAGAAGTCCTGCAGCAAAGGGCCTCGTTTCACTGTGTAACTCGATTTTCCAAGCACCTTTGCCTACAAGATTCCATTTCTTCTCGGAAGAAATTTCATGCTCCTCTCTATGCTTTGGGGACCTCTGGGTTAACGCCTGAGGTCAGATCTTCCGGAAACTCGCTAGTCTCCTCAGGCTGACTTTCTTGGTCAGAGTTAAGAGTCAGGTAGTGTTCAGAGTCACGTAGACATAACCTTCTTAACTGCTTGTTGTCTCACTTTCCAGGGATGAGGTGAGCCTCACAGGTGAACAGCGAAAGCAGAGCCGAGGCGGATGGAAATACCTCATCAGAGATCTCTCAAGAAATGGCCTCCTTGGCGTCCAGCACATCTCCAGTTTCCAAGAAGCCCTCCTCTGTGACAGCCCAGTCTCTCTTTGGCTCCCTGGCACTCAACCACACCCTGGTCCATCCACACGCTCACAGTGGCAGTAAAGCTTTCAGACACGCATCACACGGAAGGATGCGTGTTTCCTGGAGGAGGACAGGTAACCCTTTAACAACGCAGGGCCGAGGGGCACCGATGCCTGCGAAGTCAAAACTCCACCTCTGACTTTTGACTGCAGTCGGTGCTTCCCATCGGCGGGCTCCACATCCGCAGCTGGTTGAATCCGTGAATGGCAAGCCTGTGTATTTATTGAAAAAACTCCCCCATGAGTGTACCCCGCACAGTTCAAACCCGTGTTGTTCAGGGTTCAGCTGTATTTGTGTGTAAGGATGACGGCCTCAAGTAAAACTTTCAGTAATCCTAGTGAAAGCTTTTCTGAGTGATTGAGTCCTTGAAAATATAAGTGACTCTCTCTTATGTCCCCAGCAACACCCCTACCTCACCATCTCACTGCATGAAACCTCTCTGGGCACTGGACATCTGACCATCCTTCCTGCCAAGTCCTAACATCCCTGCGGAGCCTTCCAGACTGCTGCACCCCC